AGGGGTACAAAATTTTGTCCTTGAAGTCTCAGTTACCAAGCTCTTTGGATGGGAAGGACCTAAGTGCTTCTTCCTCTAGTGACAGAAGATATGTGAGAGAAAGATGAAAGGAAGATGGAGACATACAAGAACAAGAGAATGGGCCCAAACCCTCTCATAAATAAGTGAGAGCAGCATCCTTATCTTGGCACCAAAGGAACTCTTAATTTATATATAATAGTATGATGTGGTGGTAGGTACATATCTAACCAGAGGAAAGGAAAGAAATCACAATGAAACATCCTCACTGCAGGGTACACATTAATAGAAAAACCTCAGTGTGCCGGTAACTGGGCTAATTCAGTTAAGGCAATGACTGTGGACTCAAAAAACTCTCATAAGAAGATAACACAAATGGTTAGGCACCCCGGGGGAGTTAGCACGGTGTCCCCAGAACAATTTATGCTTGTTGATTGACCACAGACTGATAATCATCCCTTTTTTAAAATAGTATTTTATTTCTTCCAATTACATGTAAAGACAATTTTTAACACTTATTTGATAATCATCCTTAAAGAGCAGCTAAGACACTTGAATGACTCACTCACTCAGTCCACAAGCATTGATTAAGCACCTTCTGTGTGCCAGCAGATGTGCCAAGCACTGAGAATACAAAGACCAAAAAAGAAGAAAGACAGAAAGAGAGATACAGAGAAACAGAGAGACAGAAACACATGGAGAGAGACAGAGAGACACTGAGAGAGAGACAGAAAGATGGAAACACATGGAGAAAGAGACAGACAGACAGACAGAGACAGACAGACAGAGAAGCCATGTATGAGCCTGCCTCAGGAAATCCTGAAAGCCCAAGAGTTTTCCAGAACCTGCAGAACCAAGAGCTCTGTGAGTGAATCCTCTTGCATCAACAGTGGCTTTGATAAATAACAGCTACCATTTATAGAGAACTTGAAGGTTTTCAAAGTACTTCACATATATCTCATGTGGTTCTCACAACAACTTTGGAAGGCAGGTGCTATTATTATCCACATTTTATAGATGAGGAAACTGAGGAAAGGAATAAGTATTTATATAGTGCTTAATATATGCAAGGAACTGCACTAAGCACTTTACAAATATTATCTCATATGATTTTCACAACAACCTTGACAGGTAGATGCTATTATGATCCCCCTTTCATAGTTGAAGAACTAGTACCTGTCTGAGGTTGGATTTGAACTCAGGTCTTCCTGACTCTACATGCTGCACCTCCTAGCTGACTTTCCTAAAGAGGAAGATGAATTTCAAAGAGCACACAGATCCTTTTAAAGAAAAGTTGACTAAAATAATATATCCTCAAACTATAGGCTCAACTATATAGAGCCACAGAAGGAGTCATTTTCAACTTACCTATAATTTTTGGACCTGACACTGACATCCTATTCAGCTTCCTGGTTCATTTGTAAATAACTCAGAAGAGTCATACTTCATGGTAAATGAAAATAGACAATGATTTCAGTAGCAAGGGCAGAAGTACCAGAGATGCACTTTCACTAAAGCTGTATTCCTTGCATCTCAGTTCCTGTGGAACCAAAGGTAGTCAATGACTCAAGCCCTTAGGCCATCAGGTTAATACAGTCAACAAATGCATCTTGAGCACCTACCTGCTATAGACCACTGCTATAAGGCAAACAAAAAGCAAGCAAAATATGTAAGAGAAATATAAGCAAACAGGTACAGACAGATGAAGTGGCTGGTCAGTATTCAATGGAGGTCAACTGTTGTTTTGAACAAGGATCCTCTGTTGATCATAAGAGGAGACAGAGCCATCAGTCTGCTTGCTCACAACCTCACCAACTAGAGAGTAGGGGAGATGTACTCACTATCAAACAGACTAAAGTTCACATACCGGTAAGTTCTGGACATCAAATGAATTTCTTCGAAAGAGAAAGGAAAAAAGTGAAGGCCAATGTAAATTTCCTGAGGCAATACCAAAAATACAGAATTCTAGGGGCTACTGGTTTTAAAGTTAATTTTAAAGTGTAAACTTCAAAGTTAACTGATTCAAAAGTGAAATGCTCTTTTCAATTGATCGTTTTGCTGACACTTCACCAAACATATTTTGCTTATTGTCTTTGCTTTTAAAATGAGTAAATTGGTGAGTTGGGTGTCTTGTGCAGGGAGAGTCTTTTTGCATTAAGATGTTCATGGTGCTCTTCAATTGAAAAACTCATTAGCAGGCCAACTAACTTGGAAGTTAGCTCTATTCCCAAATCCTGGTCCTAACACCATGAGGTTGCACAATTCCCCGAACTATAGCACATAAGTAATCAATTGTTTTTATATAGAAATCTACTTTTTACATAATAACTTTAGTCTATTTACCAAGGAAAAAGCTTTCTTCTTCCATCATGCTTCATTAGACAGTTGCAAACTTTAGTATTCAACTTGTAAATGTGTTATTCAGTCATTTCAGTCATGTCTGACTCTTCGTCACCCCATCTGGGGTTTTTCCTGGCAAAGATACTGGAGTGGTTTGCCATTTCTTTCTCCAGTTCATTTTCCAGATGAGGCAACTGAGGCAAACAGGGTGAAGTGACTTGCCCAGGGTCACACAGCTAGTAAGTGTCTGAGATCAGATTTGAACTCAGGAAAATGAGTCTTTCTGACTTCATACCTGGCATTCTATTCACAGCACCACCTAGCTGCCCCCAGTTTGTAAATTACCTATGGTCAAAATTGTCTAACATTACATTTTTAGGGCAAAAGATAAATACTTTCTACAGATACATACACACACAGAGAGAGAGAGAGAGAGAGAGAGAGAGAGAGAGAGAGAGAGAGAGAGAGAGAGAGAGAGAGAGAGAAAGAGAGAGAGAGAGCGCAAAAACAAAAATAAAACCTTATCTGAGGAGCTAAAATTTAGCCAGGTTAAGTCCTTCCCCCAAATAATTATTTATATTGGTGTTTTCCTAGAATCTTCATTAAAGCATTTGCTAAACTGTAATATTTATAATTTATAAACTTTATGAAGAAAATATCTTTGGAAGCAACAAAAAAACCAATAAAGACCAGCAGAGTTTTTGTGTTGCTCAGAAACTTAGCTACAAAGTAGTCATATTGTGCCTTCTGTTAATTTATATTTACCTTTTGGCAGAGATGAAGGGGAACAAAGTTGAAAATGGAAGAACACAAATAAATGAAAGAAGACATTTTCATTTTAAAATGTGACCCTGACATTTTGGCATATGTAAACCTAATATTTAACACTTAAGAGAGGTAAAATAATACAAGAAACAGCAGCTGTTCCTCTGTGATGTCACCGAACAGGTGTGATACAATTCTACTCCACTGCAATTGGATTGATCTTCTGATGATGCACAGAGGACGCACATATGGAACAAGTATTGACCTGTGACTCATTCCTAGGAATACGGCCAGAGATCAGAGAATACAATAATAGTATTCATTACTGTTTTACTATGCAGAATAACAATAGACATTTTACCAAACCGATCAATACTAACCAAGGTGCAGCTGAAAAACAGGATGAGTCTGTATTACAAAGTAAATACCAGGTTGCTTGTTCACAAGGGCAAAAGCAACATAGAATTTGTGTTTTCCACACTGTGGTTGCCAGTAACCTCAACCCTGGCCTGCACCCTCTCTGGAGTGAGAAGTAATTTTTTTTTTTGTTGGGTCTGCTGCTGGTGCCAGAGTATAAGCAATAGTGTTTGCATAAGAAAAGTTATTATGTTCACAACCCTGCCCCCCCCCAGGTCCAACAAAGACAATTAGATTGTGCCTCTGTGCTGCCAAAACAAATGGTCAGTTTGGTCTACTTGATCAACTGATCAAATGGGACGTTTAGCATTATCTAGACAAAAAGAAAATAAGGAGGCTATGTTATTTCTTTGCACCCAGTTCTATTGGCATTATGAAGAAACTGGCCTAGATTCTTTGAATTCATGTATCTCCATGACACAGGCTTGATCCATATACCCAAAGTGAGACAGATATATGGGTACATCAAACATAATAAACAAGCATGACAAAAATATCCATGTAATTTTGTACGTAAATTACTCAGATCACCAACTCTTTTTTGCATTTTATATAGACTTGAAGAATTAGGAGTGTATGTGTGTATATACACAAGAATCTATAAAGCATGCGTATAGAGATAAACATTACTCAGAACAATGTATTTAGGAATGGAAAGGTGGGAGAGGAGACCAGACCTAAAGTCACTAGGGGTAGAAAAGTGTGAAAAAAATATCTCTACTAATGCAAATCAGCAATAGTTCTGCAACATATAGTCTTGGAAAACTGGCATATGAATATATCCGTAAGTGTGTGTGTACATAAAGTATATATCTAGTATGGCATGGAAATTTCCTCCATCTATGCAGATCTGTAACTTGTAAGTCTGTAACTTACAGTTTCAGAGCATTCATTGCCTGAGAAAGTCAGAGGTTCAGTGTTTTGTCCATAGCCACACAGTAAGAATTTGTCAGAGGCAGCCTTATATCCACTATGCCCTTCTGCTCCTTATATGTTATGTTCACAAATGTAAATTAAGTTAAATGTAGTAATCTGTTAAAGGATATTAGATCTCATCAGTACTGAACATCATTAAAAATAATTCTTAAGCACTTACTATGTGCTTTTCATCACAATGAATTTACTAAATAAGGGGAAGGGGTAGACCCTTAGGTCTTTAGAGGCTTCCATTTTAAATTAGATAGAAAATAGATGTGCACAGATAGTAAAAATACACCTATAAATACTTATTGATAACATATTCTTGTAGGTGTAACTAGGTACAAAGCATTAGCCACAACTGGACATGGATATCTTACTGTTGTTTAATATATGTATGTACATATGTGTGTCTGTATGTATATATAGTAGTAAGATGAAGAATGTGGAAAATGCAGCTGGAAGATTGCAATAGGCTGGACAAGATACAGGACCAGGAAGTGTATTTAAGACCTTTGAACTATATAAATTCACACACATACCTGTATTCCCCACCCCCAAATTCACTGGAGGGGGAAAAAAACACCCTTCCTTCTCAGATCCCTTGCGTGTCCCTCCAGGATTTCGTATTCCATTGCTGCACTTGGATTGTTAATCAGAAAAAGGAAGCTGAATTTTCTATTACCATTAGGAAATAAAAGTCCTGTGGAAAATAGGAAATCGTGTTTAAAGTTTTCATCCTTTACCCTTCTTCACCACCCCGCCCCCAAACTCCCCCAACTGAGCTTTCTCTGGTCCCTTGGGAAAACGGTTGAAGGGAAAAACAAACTTTTCCCAGTACATTACCACATACGAACCAAATCTATCTCTTGAATAAAGAAATTCAGCTTTGGAAATGTGCCACGTATCGGCAGGCTCTTGAATAAGGGGCATTTTGTTATTAATTGTTAATGTCATCTGCCATTAGAGGGCACTAAACAACCCTGCATTAATGCTGGCTGGATTGGAGCGAAGGAGGGAAGAAGACGACGGGAAAGGGAAGAGGGAAAGGAGAGGGGAGGGAGAGGGGAAGAGAGAGAAGAGGGGAAAGAGCCAGGAAAAGGGGGGAGGGGAAATGAAGAGGAGGAAGAAAGGAGGGAGAGGAAGAAGGAAGGAAGGAGAGGAGAGGAGAAAGAGAGAAAGAGAGAGAGAGAGAGAGAGAGAGAGAGAGAGAGAGGAGAGAGAGAGAGAGAGAGAGAGAGAGAGAGAGAGAGAGAGAGATTGAAGGAGAGGTGGAGGCAAAGAGTGGCACCGAATCTGGAAAGATTAAGAAGGATGTGGAGCCTCCAAAGCTGTCTGAAGTAAAAAGCCAGTCTGCCCCCACCCCCTCCCCTCAAGTCCTCACGATGATAATTATAAAGCGAAATGCAGCGGCGAGGTCACTCGTTTTTACCAGTCTGTTGCACTGAATGGGCCCGAGTGCAGGTGCGGCGGCCGCGGGTCTTTGTGATTCATGCCCACTTTCAAAGCAGGACTTCGGCCCGTCTGAGAGGCACCCAAACAACTGTCTTCTAATATTAGCACGGCTGTATTTCTGGATCTATTATAGTCTGTCCAGACAGATCCCATTGTAATGGGATCTTTTATTAAAAGATTAGCACTATCTCCTGCAGTTGGTGGAAAAAAATCTGTTATCACTGAGTTATTTGCAGTTGTGGATGGAGTGGGAGGGGGGCATGAGGGAAGTTTGGGGGAGGCAGGGAGAAGAGGAATGGGGAGTACTTGGGAGGGGGAAGAGAAGTGGAAGGGGGCGGGTTTGAAATCGATAGAACAAATCCCAGTGACCTGCAAATGTCCAAGAATTTTGTCTGCATATTTCTCAGTCTGTTGTCCTTCAGAGGTTCAGAAACGAAAGAATAGAAATTAGAAAGGCAGTTTTGGAATAAACAATATAGCATTTTCCGTTAAGTAATCGTTTTATATAAAAGGAAATATCGCCTACTCAGTTTCATTCAGTGGTGCCAAAAAATGTTATAAATGAGAGACCGCCAACTTTCAGCGAAGAATGCCAGGCACTGTGCTTCATAAACTGAGACTATGGACGGTCATTATCGATGTTGCAATCTTTTTTTATTCAGCGAACAAGGAGAGGGAGAGAGGGAGGGAGGGAGAGAGAGAGAGAGAGAGAGAGAGAGAGGAGAGAGAGAGAGAGAGAGAGAGAGAGAGAGAGAGAAGAAGAAGAAGAAGAAGAAGGAGGAGGAGGAGGAGGAGGAGAAGGAAGGAAGGAAGGAAGGAAGGAAGGAAGGAAGGAAGGAAGGAAGGAAGGAAGGAAGGAAGGAAGGAAGGAAGGAAGGAAGGAGAGACAGAGACAGAACAGAGAGAGGCAAGGACAGAGTCTGAGAGATAGAGAGTGATCAGGGAGGAGTGCGAGACCGCCTACATCGTCCCCCTTTCCAGGCTAAGGTTCCAGACGCTGTAAAGTAAAAAGGAAAGGGGAGAGCGAGAGAGAGAGAGCGAGCGAGCGAGCGAGGAGAGAGAGAGAGAGAGGAGAGAGAGAGAGAGAGAGAGAGAGATTTTGACCTGAGTAAAGGCCAAGCCCTAGGTATTAAACTTTTGTTGTGTGCTTGTTTCCGACTGGTAGTACAGAGGGAGATGTGTCTGTGCCACCTCCTTAACTAGTTTTCGAAGGTGCTAGGGATTAGATTTATTATTAGCAGCAGCCAGAGTGAGAATGTCATTAAAAGGAAAAGACGACACACATGTACACAGCACACAGACAGAAAGACGGACAGATGGACAAACGGACAGACAGACAAGCAGACAGATGGACTGACGAATAGGGAGACAGACAGACCGGCACAGACCTTCTCTCTCTTTGCTGAGATTACATGAATTTCAAGAGTGGCAGAACATAATGCAATAAATGCACGTTTAGAGCTGACCCGGAGCTAGATATTTCAGCAGCCTGGTGTGTTATGTTGGGGTTTAAAAAAAAAAAAAAGTCTTTCGGAACTGAAAGAAGAACGCCCGGAGAAGACAAACTCACGTTTCCCCTCCATTCCACCCCCCCTTCCCGCCCCGATCTTCCACGCCTTCGCCTCCCCGCCACCTCCCCCCGCCCCCCGTCACCGCCGCCCCACCCCCCACTTCTCCAGCCAAGGGAGCCGGCGGCGGCTGTTGGTTCTTAGGGGTTGCATTCAAAAGTGTGGCCGGTATTCATGACTTTAAGTGGGTGTTCTTCCCCACCCCTCACCCCCAAAGCTCCTTCTTCCCCCCCCAGTCTAGTTTCACCCTCCCCCTTGCTACTACGCAAACAAGAACTCCAACGATTCCCCCTCGTCCAGATTTGATTTCAGGCAGCGTATGCACCTAAAACAGATAATTGGGAAGGTGGAAAATGTCACCTGATTCACACTGAACTTTTGAAAATCTCTCCACCCTCAAACACTCACACACACACACACACACACACATACACACACACACATACACACACGCACACGCATACACACACACATACACACACACACACACTAGGAGACCGCCCACCGCAAACAGCTAAGACCCCCATATAGATTTAAAGAGAGACTGCACTCAGATTCTGACGTTCATTGAATAGAGCAGTCTGTCTAGTGCTGCTCTCTCCTCCACTTGATATTGTCGCTCTCTCGCTCTCTCACACACGCACACACATACTCACTCACTCACTCGTATCCTGAGGATGTTAAATCAGAGAAACCAGCCGGGCATGCTTTTACTCCTGATCCTGCTGTGCCAGTTCATGGAAGATCGCACAGTCCAGGGTAAGTAGACGAAGGTTTGTTTGTCGGACTGATTTGTCTCGTACTTTTCTGTCTACCCGTAATGATCTGTTCTGTGCTGTTCTGGTCTGCTTAACGCCTCTCTTTGAAGATGGTTCGTTGTACCAAGTTAACTGCTCCGGAATGTACAGGAATAGGAAAACTTAAGGAAGTGACATTCCGGACTGGAAGCTGTATTTATTGCTCGGGTTATCATTAACAACATAAAGAGTGAATGAGCAATAGTTCAGCAGTTAGGACTGGATGCTCAAAGTTCCTGCTGTAATTAGTTTAGAGATGTTATCTCCTCTGGCTGGGGGTGAGGGGGAGCGATAGGGGGGAAGCATCAGCATCCTGAAAATTATAGGCGACCCTTTTACAAACTAATTATGTGTACTGTGTGTATATTTTTTTTACCGCTTTCCTGGATAACTATATTATATGACTTTGGGGGACACTGAATTTACTCCTGTGTCTGGGAAACGTGGTTCCAGAAACTTGGCACAAAGCTAATATTGGCAGAGGAAGTTTTTAGGTGGAAAATAGCTTTCTGCTCTGTGAATCCTTCCTTTCCTCTCCCCAAATTCATTCCAAACACTAATCTAGGTGATATACAAGATACCATTTTTTTAAAAACGTCCTTCCGAAGCCACTGTAATTTTCAATGGATGACCATGAGGAGCTCACAACTGATTAAAATTCTGATATAGGTAGACTAAGTGACTAAGACCTTGAAGGAAACTTTTCAAAAGAAGGCTGCTTGCTTAACTTATTGTTTGAGGAACTTTTTTTAGTGCAATAGCCTACAGACCAATTACTAGAATCGATTGGTATTGATTGAGTTGCTGGGGAAAAAAATCACATCGCTGATTCATGGTAGATTCATCCTACCAAAATTTCTGCATTATAAACCCAAGAGTTACTTGAACAGAATTTTTGGCTTGGGCCAATATAGAACGTCGAAACTTTTAACACTAAAATTTAAAATAAAATTTTTTTTTAAAAAAACCTTCCAAAAATTCTTTCGGGTTTAAAGCAGCACAGCACATATTTCATCTTACTTTCCAGAAGATGGCACGTTAACCTGTAGCTTTAGCAGCCACATCGTTGTTATTTTAAACTTTTTAAATGGCTTTTGACATTGCCTCCTAGCTTTCTGCTGGAGTTACGTACAATTTGTCCGCCCTTCTTGAGATAACTAGCAAATTCGTTTAGTACAAGTTGGGGGCACTAGAAGCAGCAGACTTCAGGGATTTCGAAATGACTACTGGGGCAGGCAAGAGAGCTGCTCCCAATTCTTAAAGATTGCAAAATGGGCCGTTGGACTGCAACTCTATGCAGCAGCAACAGCAGCAGCAACAGCCGCAGCAACAGCCGCAGCCTCAGCAGCGGCAGCGGCAACAGCAGCAGCAGCAGCCGCGGCAGCAGCAGCAGCAAGGCAGACTCTGGTCATGCAGAGGTTGTTTTCTTTGGTGGTTTTTTTTCTTTCATTTTTTTTTATAAGTGCCTTTTGCTCGGTTTGTATGTGTGCGTGTGCGTGTGTGTGTGTGTGTGTGTTTAAGTTCCTACTTTCCTAACCCCTGTCACAAATAATACCCACACCGCCTACATGAAACCAACATGTAAAAACATCCGTCGCATCCTGTTTTTGTCAGGTTATTTAAGCTGCTCTTCGAGTTGCTGCAGGTTATGAAATGGGACGAATAAAAGTAAACAGTCTAGTAAAAGTCAATGAAAGCTGCACGTGTTGTGTCTGGGTCACTGGTAACTGACACTGATACTGCTGGAATGGTCTCTCTCCTTTCTCCCTCTCCCTTTTCACTTTTCTCTTTTCCCAATTCTCTTTCTCCCTCTCTCTCTCTCCCTCTCCTCTCTCCTCTCTCTCTCTCTCTCTCTCTCTCTCTCTCCCTCCCTCTCTCTCTCTCTCTCTCTCTCCTCTCTCTCTCTCTCTCTCTCTCTCTTCTCTCTCTTCTCTCTCTCTCCCCCCTTCTCCCTCCTCCACCTCCTCCTCCTCCTCTCTTCGCTCCCCCTTCTCTCTGTCTCTCCTCCCTCCCGTTGTCTCTCTGTCTCCCTCCCTCTATCCCCACCCACTCCACCCCCTTTCTCTGTTACAGCTGGGAATTGCTGGCTCCGGCAGGCAAAGAACGGTCGTTGCCAGGTCTTGTACAAAACGGGTCTCAGCAAAGAAGAGTGTTGCAGCTCGGGGAGGCTTAGCACTTCGTGGACTGCAGAAGACGTGAATGACAGCACGCTTTTCAAGTGGATGATTTTTAACGGGGGCGCCCCGAACTGCATCCCTTGCAAAGGTAGAGCTCTTTTAAACTTTCAGGGCATTCAATAGAGGGCGTTTCACTGGCAGCTTCTTTCCTGTCCTAGGAGGCAAAATTAGGCATTCTTGGTGTTGGGAAGAGTGGGGCTGGACTGGGTGTCTTTTGTCTGTGGATTTAGTTTAAGGGGTTTCTCTGGCACCCTTGAGATGATAGCGTGTTTGAAACGCGCCTTTTGGAGACTTCTGACAAAGAACCGGTCTACAAAGGTCCTTATGCTTCTTAGTCCTATGTGAGTAGAGAAGTCAACAGCAGAACACTCTGTCGAATATTTTGGATGGATTACTGCTCTGGACAGCACCTTCGCTCGCCCCTAAAAACCCTTTTCCTCTTGAAGGATTAGTTTCTCAGCTCGGTAGCTCCAGGTTGCATAATTGTGTAGGGCACAAATGATCCTCGTGGCTGACCTGGAGACTAGCCCTTCTATAAACGATACCTCTTTCCAACTCCTAGAAACCTGTGATAATGTGGACTGTGGACCTGGAAAGAAATGCAAAATGAACAAGAAGAACAAACCTCGATGTGTCTGCTCTCCGGATTGCTCCAATATCACTTGGAAAGGCCCAGTCTGTGGACTAGATGGCAAAACCTACAAAAATGAATGCGCTCTCCTCAAAGCCAGATGTAAAGAGCAGCCAGAGCTAGAAGTCCAATACCAAGGCAAATGTAAAAGTAGGTTTGGAGTTCTTGAAACAAGCATCCTCTTCCTCTAATCATATTTTAAGCAGAAGTAAAATTTATAGTAGTTAAGAGCTGACAACTCTATTATCATCTTTAAAATGGAGAGATTCTCAAAGAATTGTTGTGTGGATCAAATCAGTTAATGTGTGTATGGGGCTTTCCAAAACTTAAACGGCTACATAAATGTGAGCTGCTACCAGCCTTGTGGAGCCATGTTGCTTTCAACAGTAAGGAACCCCAAATAAAACCATTTTGGGCTACCAAATATTAATTTTGAACAGTTAAGAGCCCAAATAGAGTCAGTGGACTTTGTCCTGAAAAAATTCCCCAAGTATCTTTTGAAAAGGTGGAGGCTTGTTTCAGGGTTTGAGTGATAACATTAAAAGTTCCATCCCTAAGGGCCAGGCCATGCCTATTAATGTTTGTGTGTTTGTCTTTATTTCAGAGACCTGTAGAGATGTTTTATGTCCAGGCAGTTCCACGTGTGTGGTGGATCAAAGCAATAATGCCTACTGTGTGACATGTAATCGGGTTTGTCCAGAGCCTACCTCCTCTGAACAGTATCTCTGTGGGAATGATGGAATAACTTATCCTAGTGCCTGTCACCTGAGAAAGGCTACCTGCCTGCTGGGCAAATCAATTGGATTAGCCTACGAGGGAAAATGTATCAGTAGGTATTCTGATTTGGGGAAGGGGGGGTGGGGTGGGTAGAGATTATGAGTAGCTAGTTACAGCTTGATTGCCTGGTTGTCAACAAACAAATCAAAAGCACTCCTGAGCAAGTCACTTCCACTGGCAGGGAGATGTTTTGCATTTTTGATAAACTGGCTACAGTTTGCTTCATGGAAACAGCTGTCTTCAGGAAGTGTTGGTAAACATGTATAAATGCCAGTAAGAGCATGAACCAATTGGTTTTCCATCTTTCCCTTCCCATCTCAGGACTTACTCAATTTGTTGATTTAAAGGGAAATTGTTGTACTACAGAGAAGAAATAAATAGGTCACTGGTTCCTAAACTAATCGGAAGTATGTAATATCATTCCTTTACGAAATGGTCTTGTTACTTTTTTTTTTAATTCTTTTTCTATCTTGAACTTTGGGAGTGCGTTGATCTTTGCTAAAATAAAATGTCTCCCAAGATTCTGAATAAAATCTCCTTTCATGCCCTATTATATAAGACCCTTACTGTGACTTCTGTGACTTTGTGCTTTAAAAATTAGCATTTAGCATCCTTTTTTTCCAAACATTTTAAAATATCTTATGAGCAACATATATAATTTGAAACTCCAAGTTAATTTCTAATCTTAGGATAAAAGAGACAAGTGCCTAACTTGAGGGAAACTGCCCTGGCAGTGGGAAATAGATTATGAAAAGTGTGTGTGTGTGTGTGTGTGTGTGTGTGTGTGTGTGTGTGTGTGTCTGTGTGTCTGTGTGTGTGTGTCTGTGTGTTTTGAAAGGGAAGTGCTGGGGAGGGGTGGTGAAGGCAAGAAGGGGGGAAAAGAAGTAAGGAATGAAAGAAACAAAGATATCACTTTACTCATCACAGAAATATTATATTTTAGAGGCAAGGTCCTGTGAAGATATCCATTGTAGTGGTGGAAAGAAATGTTTATGGGACTCCAAAGTTGGCAGAGGCCGGTGTTCACTCTGTGATGAGTTGTGTCCTGAAAGTAAATCTGATGAGGCTGTCTGTGCTAGCGACAATGCCACTTATGCCAGTGAGTGTGCCATGAAGGAGGCTGCCTGCTCCACAGGTGTGGTCTTGGAAGTAAAGCACTCAGGATCTTGCAATTGTAAGTGTTCTTTTTAACCTTATAGCACTTTAAGGCTTTAAAGGCAATCCTTAGGTAACAAAGTCTTAGGGAGAAGAAAGAAAGAAAGGAGGAAGGAAAGATGGAGGCCAGGGAAAGGGAAGGATGGAAGAATGAAAGAGGGAAGGAAGGAATGAGGGAGGGAAGGAAGGAAAGAAGGAAGAAGGAAGAAGGCGGACAGGAAGGAAGGAAGATCTATGTAAACATTTTGCTGTAGGAAGTAGAAGATAAGTAAATGGTACCAGCTCTTCAGTAATCACCAGAGGGAGTTCCTGAAATGTTATATACTTTTTTTTTTTAGAATATCATGTCATCAGCTAGGGGTTGCCTATAAGAACATTTTTCAAGCTGTTTTGTTCTAATCTGTTTGTTCTGTGTGCTTTGCTGTTTGCTTTATTAACACTTGGATATAACCTAACTCCATAAATACAAAAAAAAAAAAGACAGCTATATGTTGGCCTATGGGCAGCTGTTTCTCTGCAGATAGTCACTACTAACTTTGAATTAAGGACTCCAAGCATTTAAACCTAGAACACAAGAGCGCTTTTTATCTGATTTCAGGAATCTGCCAGTAAAACCTGAGCCATTGATTCTTCAGAACTTTCTGCAGTTTTTGACTTCATAGATTATGTCTTTAAAAGCAAATCAAAACAAAAAAACCAAAACAAAACAGAACAAAAAAACCCTTATTGCATAACAGCAGATGCAAAAGAGCATCTCACTGCAAGTCACATAAAAATGCACCGCTGTATTATGGCTGTTTCAGAGGGCTTTGAAAGCGTGCACTGAGCTGCTTCTGCGCTGTTGTTGTCCTTATTTAAACAACAGCTCCCCTGTATTCCCCCATCTAGCCATTACTGAAGACACGGAAGAGGAGGAGGAAGATGAAGACCAGGACTACAGCTTTCCTATATCATCAATTCTAGAGTGGTAAACCCTTCATCAGTGTTGGGATAGCCCTTGGGCAAAAAAAAAAAATCAGTGTCCATACTGTAAATAAGTGTATGCTTATTTATTTTGGGGGGAAAAGTACACGGAAAGGACCTTTGTCCTGCAGCCCTCTCCCAGGCAACCTTTCCACTGACTTGACATGGGAGAGGCTGTCAGTGTGAGGTCTACTGGATTGGGCTCCTAGTTGAGACTTGTAGACATTTATTTATACTGTGTCATGTTTTATAATTTATACATAAAATGTCTGGTTGACTGTACACCTTGTTTTTGAAGAAATTTATTCGTTAAAGGAAGAGCAGTTGTTATTTATTGTGAGGTCTCTTGCTTGTAAAGTAAACAGCTTTTTTTTTTCTCCTTGTAAAACATTTTAATCCATTCCTTACCACTCATTTACCTGGTCACCTTTTGGTCCACTGCTGTTTAATTCCCTTTCCACTTTAATGAACATGCATGTCAGTTTCTACCATGTTTATTTATTGGATTTTCTGCTGCCAGTTCTGTACATACATGACCCCTGGGGTTTTTGTTTACAAGGAATCTTGACTGACCAAAAGGCATTATAACTTGACTCAAATGTAGAGTACAGTGGTCCTATCTTAAAGGAAACTCCTGCTTCAGTTCTCTCTCATTCTGCCCAAGATAGTCTGGAGACACCTGTATTCGAGTGAAACAGATATGTTATTAGACTTTGAAAATTCACAGATCCAAAGAATTAGGGTGAGAAGGATGACTAAAAGGGACCGGGGTGTGCCATGGCGGTGGAGGGGAGGTTAATAGACACATAACGTATTTTTTAGGTGTTTCCTTTCAGCTGGACTGCCGTACCCTTTAAGTTAGTTCTTTTTTCAAACAATATGTCATTAAAAGGTATATTAAAGCTTTATCGGTTCAGGTTTCTTGCTTTTCATAATTCCTTCTGATGCAATTTTATATTTTCAAACATGGCAAGTTAAATATAAATTCATTTAAATATATAGTTTTGTACTTTTCTACCATGTAAATGTGCAATGTATATAAAAAGTTATAATGTGTATTTGTAAATAAATGATGAGTGAAAAATAAAAAAAAGTTTTAAAAAATGCCTGAATTCCTCGTTATGGAAAGAGAGTAGATTGGGCTTTGGGTCAATGATCCTCATTACCTTATATAATAGTTGATGCATAATCTACCAAAAATAAGCTTATAGGATGGCAGAATCTCCAAGGATTGGTTAATTGTAAACAGCTTTAGTAGAGTTTAAATATAGTAAGGCCTGAGATTTATTCATACCTGGTGCCACTCTTTCTCTAATTAAACTCCAACTGAAATAGACAAAGAGTCAGTGTGGTTTCCCATTTGCAAACTCCCCCTCAAGCTGGGCTGGGATTTTGATCCTAAGTAACGTGCTTCCTCCTTTGGTCTGTCTGTGATGGGAACTTTCATCTATGTCCAGTTAAGTTTGAATCTACTCATCCCATTTACCAAATGAGGTTAGTCCTGGAACATCAAAAGGAATCTTGTTGCAAAGAAGGGGTTCAAAAGACTGTGTAGTAAAGTATATCACCAAACTGTCTCACACACATACTACGTAAATGAGTGCCCTTTTCCTCAAGTTGGTAAATCTCTATGGCTTTAGCCTAAAAGAGGGAATTAGAGGGGATAAGAGTAGGGGCAGCTTGATTTTGACACTCTGAAATGATCCATTCATACTAATATAACTGTTTCAAGAGGGCATGAACCACTTTTGAGATAATGAAAGGTTGTAAAAGGTTGAGCTCAAATGAAATCTTCACCAGAATTGTGACAAGATAAAATGAAGGCATGTTTTGGTAATTTAGACAATTCAGATATCTAATTTGTATGATTTTTCCAGTGTAGTCATCTATGGATTTGAAATAAATTGAACATTTGCCTTCAAATGTCTGATTTACTTTCTGCTGGGTAGACAAAGCCATAGATAGATAGGTAGTTAGATAGCTAGATAGATCCATATAGGCATAGATAGATTAGATATAGTTATAAAGATCTAAGAAATACCAAATCCAAATAAATACCTAGGAGTGTAGGACTGAATAAAGAGACGTTAATTTTAGCAATGGTATTATATAAATAAAAGTGCTTAAAGCAACTATCCCAACTAAATTCTTTTTAAGCTCTTCTATTTTGAGGAAATCATGGTAATGGAAAGGATTTCTCCAAAAAAAAAGGAAGGAAGAAGAAAGAGAAAGCAAGGAAGGAAGAAAAGAAGGAAGGAAAAAAGAAAGAAAAAGATGTGTCAAAAAACTTTGGATCTAAAATGTGGTCACAACATGAGAAATTTGGTGGGCAGAGAGGGGAGCCACATTTTAGTATGAGCTTGTATAATAATTAGGAAGCCTGTTGGGTTTTGTTATCCTTCAGCCCTGGATTCCCAGAGGGAGGGAAAAGGGAGGTGTAGAAAACAGACAGGCTGCCATTAACCACAAGAAGAAGAGGGTCATAACTTCTCCTGTACTGAGAAGCTACTGAGTTGCCACTAGGGAAAGGCTCTAGGAAAAGGAAAAGAGAGATGGGCAGATAGAGTTTCACAGCCTTTCCGGGCGTTGATTTGTTACTTTGTCCTGGGATGCAGTAGATGTTTTAAAGCTGCCGCTAACCTGATCAGAGTGAAAATGTCTAATTTAATGGGAATCGATGTGTGTCTTGGCAACAGGGAGTGATAAAATCAACAGCTTGCCTTTTAAATAGCATCCAGATTATTTATTTTAAATTCTGATTCCACATCTCCAGATATCAATCATTCCTTTCAGGACCCAAATAGTATTTGATTTTTTTCCCTGGTGTTTCCCCTTTTGGCTTTTACCAGCAATTTTGTGTTAGGCTAATTTGCCCCCCACCCCAAGAATCTAAAGTTTTGTCCAAAATCAAAATTTGACTAATACTCAATAGACAACTGTTTGAACTAAAAATAGGAGCTGGGACTAGACCTGTGATCTCATTGGTATAGGGAATTCCCCGATGAGGAAATGCTAATGCAGTTTAGCAGATTACATTCTTTGAGACTTTCCTACAGTACTGAAATGGACTTGCCCTAAGCCACACAGCCAGTGTGTATCACAGTCAGAGCTTGAATACAATCCTTCTTAGCTCTGAGACCAGCTCTTTTACAATGTGGTGCTTCTCCAAATTCAAAAAGATCACACACACCACACACACACACACACACACACACACACACACACACACATACACACACTCAATCTTAATCATTTACATTTAGAATGTTAGTAAGAGAAATAGCTACTGATGACCGGTAATAGTATGCAGGCTTTATGCAACATGGATAAGCAAAAACAAAAAAATTAAGAATAAAAGAGAAGATCTTTTCTGATTTTTATTTTCATCCATGGTGTTCCATTCCAAAGATATTCTATAATGCAGGATAGAACATCATTCTATAAACCTAAAATGGTATAGCTGGTGTGATCACAAACATCTTCTTGAATAATGAAAATACCTGAAGACACTCTAGTGCCTGCCCTATTTTTCTGGTACATAATTGTTTGTGTATCATCTTTCCTATTAGCCTGTGATAACTTTGGTTGTAGTGACTGTCTTTGTCTTTCTTTATGTCCCCAGAACTTAGCACAGTGCCTGTCACTTAGTAGGTACTTAATAGATGCTTACTGACTTGACTTCAATAAAAGAAACTCTTACTGGAGAACTCTTCTTGTCCTTAGATAGGCAACTGAAATATAAGAAATCATTTCAAAACAAACCACTTTGTGGCACCAAAATACTTGGAAAAATAAAAATATCTACTCTTCATCTGAGTCCTCTAAATAATAGCTAACATTTAAATAGTGCCTACTATTTGCCAAGTGCTATGCTAAGCACTTTATTATGTCATTTTATTTATTTATATTATGTCATACTTTTATTATGTCAAGAAGAGATCTCAGAGACTTCATTAAGTCAACCATTTCATTTGACAAAAGTGGGTCAGAGTGGCACAACCCTGGGAGGTAGGTGCTATTATTGTGTCCATTTTTCGATGAAGAAACTGAAGCACACTGAAGTTAAGTGACTTGTCCAGGTTCACACAACTAGAGAGTATCTGATGCTGGATTTGAAGTCAGTTCTTCTTGACTCCAGGCCCAGCACTCTATCTATGGTGTCACTTAGCTTTTCCCCATCTTAGATCAGACTGAAAGACAAAGAGCCAGACTTCCTGACACCTTACATACATTCTACCTGGTAAGTTACGTTTTTATTTTGAGCATCATAGTACTGATCAATATGATTGGTGCTGGCTATAACAAAAATATGAGGCAAGCCCTCTGGTAGGAGATGGTGCTGACCAGAAAGAAGACTGAAGCACTCGGGAGAGAAGGAAAAAGAGAAGTGGACATAGCTACAGTTTCTGTCTCCATAATTAGATGCTTATACTAGAGAACAATAACTGCTCATACTGGGAAATTGCAGATGTCATAATATTTCACATGGAATCAAAACAAAATCAGCAGCTTGAATATTTAGCCAAATTTATTGAGTTTCTAGCTCTGATAGGCAAAAGGGCAAAATTGATGACAACAGATATTTTGCTTTCTTTTCAATGGAATTTGAGAATGGCCTCATGGAAAGTTCACTTGTTCCTAGCATTTGCTGGTCCTTAAACACATTTTGTTTTGTTTTGTTTTGTTTTTGCTCCACCCCCCCCCATCCCCGGAGATACCTAGGAGCCAAACACACAAAATCAACATTCTTTATAGAAATTCATTCTCATATGGCATGAATAAAACTACTTTGACATAGACAACAGGCTTATTTGCAAATGTGGCTTAAATTATATATGCATGTATTACATCGAAACTAGTTTTCCATAGAGAGTAACTAGTATCAGCTTATGATTTCTAAAGAGTAAAATTTATTCCAGTGAGTGTCAATGATGATAATTTTTAAAATGACTCAAGTATAAATTAATGAGACTTTGTAACAATGATGTCCCTGAAATGAAACCAATAGTAAACAAC